TTTGATTTTGATGATTTTCAATACAATTGCATTCCAAGATGCTGCATATCATTGGGCCCGTGATCATCGTGTACATCACAAGTATTCGGAAACCGATGCCGATCCACATAATGCCACTCGCGGCTTTTTCTTTTCGCACATTGGCTGGTTGTTGTGCAAGAAACATCCCGAAGTTAAGGCCAAGGGCAAGGGTGTCGATCTATCCGATTTGAGAGCTGATCCCATTCTTATGTTCCAAAAGAAGTGAGTAGAAGAAATGAAATAACTATTTAAAAATATACTTTAAAAATCCTGTTGGAAAAGATTCTTTAAAATATCCACGCCTATGGGACTGTTGAAATTCTTAAGAATATTCTTTAAAAATCCACGCCTATGGGACTGTTGAAATTCTTAAGAATATTCTTTAAAAATCCACGCCTATAGGGCTGTTGAAATTCTTACAAATATTCTGTAAAAATCCACGCCTATGGTGCTGTTGGAATTCTTTAAAATATCCACGCCTATGGGGCTGTTGGAATTCTTATAAATATTCTTTAAAATATCCACGCCTATGGGGCTGTTGAAATTCTTAAAAACATTCTTTAAAATTCCACGCCTATGGGGCTGTTGAAATTCTTAAAAATATTCTTTAAAAATCAACGCCCTATGGGGCTGTTGGAATTCTTAAAAATATTCTTTAAAAATCCACGCCAATGGGGCTGTTGAACTTCTTAAAAATATTCTTTAAAAATCCACGCCAATGGGGCTGTTGAACTTCTTAAAAATATTCTTTAAAAATCCACGACTATAGGCCCGAACATCTACATAAAAATATTTTTTAAAAATCCACGCCTATAGGTCTGAAACCCAGGCCTATGGGGCTGTTGAAGTTCTTAAAATAATTCTTTAAAAATCCACGCCTGTAGGCCTGAACATCTTCTTAAAAATATTCTTTAAAAATCCTGAAAATCTTCTTAAAAACTTAATTTAAAAAACCACTCCTATAGACCTGAAAACACATATAAAAATTTAATTTAAAAAAAATCATTTTAATATATTTTATTAACCTATACCTCCCCTTCTTTTCTTTTTTTCAGATACTACATGATCTTGATGCCTCTTCTCTGCTTCATTTTGCCAACAATGGTACCCATGTACCTCTGGAATGAAAGCTTTGTCAATTCCTGGTTTGTTGCCACCATGTTCCGTTGGTGTTTTATTCTCAACATTACCTGGTTGGTGAACAGTGCTGCTCATAAATTCGGTGGCAAACCCTATGATAAGTAAGTCATTTTTTTATTTTGGAGACGCCCTTTCTAATCTGTGTTTGTTTCTATTGTGGCAGATACATCAACCCCGCTGAAAACAAATCTGTTGCCATTTTGGCTTTCGGTGAAGGCTGGCATAACTATCATCATGTCTTCCCCTGGGATTACAAGACCGCTGAATTTGGCAACTATTCCATGAACATGACCACTGGCTTCATTGATTTCTTTGCCAAAATTGGCTGGGCCTATGATTTGAAAACTGTATCCGCCGATATCATTAAGAAGCGTGTCAAGCGCACCGGTGATGGTTCTCATGCCACCTGGGGCTGGGGTGATAAGGATCAACCTAAGGATGAAATTGATAATGCCATTATTATCAATAAGAAAGATGAATAGATTGTTAGATGAAGAAGAAGACGTCCACACAACAACAACTCACACACAGAAATCAGGGAAAAACGAAAGGAAAAACTGTGCTCCTAAAAAACAAAACAACCAACAACAAAACTGAAAAGCTATGAGAACTAGAAGAATGAAAAACAAATACCAAAAAACCAAACATTTTTAAAATGATTTCTTAAAATTTCAAAACAAAAAAAATCAAAAAACAAGTAAAAACAACAACAAAATGTCCTTAATGAGATGATATACAGAAAATAAAGAAATTATATATAAATAAGCTGCTAAAACAAAACCCAAAAGCAGTGAATTCCAAGAAAAAAAATGATTGCTTGCATGCACTGATCTCACCACCTAAATAATTAATTAACACCACCAAAAGCAAATTCACCAGCAGCAAAAAATAGCTAAATCAGTCACATTTTTGGGGAAAAGGCAACAGCAACCATTGCAACGCATATATCACATGTTTTTGTCCTTTTGTTTTTGTCGTAAACATCAGTTATGTCTGGCACATGAATGAATGAATATTAACTCCTTAGCTAGCCCCCAAACAGCTACCACAACTCATTATCAAACATTCACCTTACATCCATACTCCCCATGATGTCCATCATCAATACCAAGTGAATGTAATTTTCTTGTAAAGGAAAACAAAAAACCTGGAATGAAACCAAAATCATTATTAATAATAATTATACTAACAACAACAAAAACAACTTTTTATTATTGTGTAATTGTAAAATCTAAATATACATAAAAATAACAAAGATAAAAAGCAACAACAACTAACACCTATCAACACGTTAACGGAGAAGAAGATAAAATCGAACGAAAAAAAATCTCTGAAAAGCCCACAAACGTGTCCTAGCAATTAAGAATCAATCCTATCCTTGCAGAAAACCCCCTAGCCTCCTGGAGATGTGTGTAAAAGAAAACTTGCAAAAGACATCTTAAAAAACAAGAAAAGGAAATACCAAAAAGCAACATAACAGCTAAGCCGAAGAAGATGTGCTCCCCCAAAAAAAGAAAATCAAACTCCATAAAAAATGCTGCACATTTCCCCGGAAACAATAGGCGGCCGAGCTTTAAAACAGCCAACCAACAAACAAACCTGTAACTTTTATTGAATTCAAAATGCTCTTTTTTCAATTTTTGTTTCTTTTTGTTCATTCTTTCTTCACTCAAAGGAAAATTTTGCTATTATTACCATTTACATTTTATAGATGTTGGAGAAAAAAAATTTGAAAAAAATGTTTAAAACAAGAAATGAAAACAAGGATAAATCCCATATTACTAATATTTTTCGTATTATTATCATTATAATTATTATATACATACATAAAAAATAACTTGTTATCATAATATCATTCCTCTACCATTCCTCCTTAAATATCTCCCTTCTTTCCAGCCCAACTTCTACCCCCCTCCAATTCGTCTGAGATGATTGGTGATCCCTAAATCTTTTTTCTAAAACAAAACACTCACAAAAATTTGTTGTTATTATCTCTATGAAAATATGAATAAAAACAAACAATAAAAATAATAAATAAAAAATAAATGTTTAATATGTGTAGTTTTTTGTATGTATGTCACAGATCAATAAATCTTATGAATTTTTAAAAAAAACCATCCCAAGAAGTGTGAAAATGGGAATGATGATGAGAAGAAACCTCAACAACCTACAAAATTCATTCTTCATTATTATCTAATAGCAAAACTTTGATGATTGTATACCTAACTTGTCATACATACTTACAAACATTCAAATTACCCACTAATAATAACAACAAACAAAAAATTAATAATACCAGAAAAAACCGAAATAAAACCCTATTGGATACCAAAATTTGTTAGAGCTCTTGAAAGAAAAAAAAGTAAATAAAAAACCCAAACAAAACCAAAATAAAAAATTCTAATTGTGTTTTTATTTAACTGATCCACGCCTAAAGGGCTGTTGAACTTAATAAAAATATTCTTTAAAAAATTCACGCCTAAAGGGCTGTCGAACTTAATAAAAATATTCTTTAAAAATCCACGCCTAAAGGACTGTCGAACTTAATAAAAATATTCTGTAAAAAAATCACGCCTGAAGGGCTGTCGAACTTAATAAAAATATTCTTTAAAAATCCAGGCCTAAAGGACTGTCGAACTTAATAAAAATATTCTGTAAAAAAATCACGCCTGAAGGGCTGTCGAACTTAATAAAAATATTCTTTAAAAAATTCACGTCTGAAGAGCTGTCGAACTTAATAAATATATTCTTTAAAAATCCACGCCTAAAGGGCTGTTGAACTTAATAAAAAAATTCTTTAAAAAATTCATGTCTGAAGGGCTGTCGAACTTAATAAATATATTCTTTAAAAATCCACGCCTAAAGGGCTGTTGAACTTAATAAAAATATTCTTTAAAAATCCACGCCTAAAGGACTGTCGAACTTAATAAAAATATTCTTTAAAAATCCACGCCTAAAGGGCTGTTGAACTTAATAAAAATATTCTTTAAAAATCCACGCCTATTGGGCAGTTGATAATCTACTTTTAAACTTTTCGAATTTTTATTTTGGTTAGAAGCTTTTTTTAATCGCTCTTTTTTATTTTTATTTTTGTTGAATTTTAAGTCTTGTTTTAATTATAAAATACAAATAAACTAGAATCCGACATTAATAACAATTATATTACAGTTATATAAATAAATTATTTCTTCTCCTTCTTTTATTCTTTTGGTGTTGGTTCAGGTTCATCGGATTTTTTCTTCTTTTCGGCTTTTTTCTTTTCTTTTTCCTCCTTAAGGCGTTTCTCTTCTTCAATTCGTGCACGTTCTTGGGCTTGTTTTTCCGCCTCCTTTTGGGCAGCGGCTTCAGCGACCTGCTGATCATCCCAATCGGCCATGGATTTGTCACGTTTCAACCATGAATCACGATTGTCGTCCTTGAAGGCTGTACACAAAATAAGGATATCATTCGTTACGATATTCAAACCATCTTTAAAAGACCTACTCACTTTGAGTAAACCATGTGATGCCCTCCTTCATTTGATCGATCATATCCTTGGATGTATACATAATTTCATTTTGTATAGCTTGATGGAAATTGGCCGCTTCGAAAACTGAGGAATACAACGAATTCCGATCATGATTCAGGGCACTTTGTGGGAATTTCGCCAATGTGTGAGCCAATTCCAAGGCTTTAATCAAAGCATTTCCAGTGGGTACAATACGATTGACCAAACCAATGGCATGTGCCTCCTCGGCATTAACTTGCCGCCCGGTCAATATCAGATCGAGGGCACGTGCAAAGCCTATCATAGCCGGTAGACGAGCAGTGCCTCCATCAATGACAGGAACACCAAAACGACGATTAAAGAATCCCAACACTGCCGATTCTTCCATAACACGTAAATCACACATCAGGGCCAATTCCAAGCCGTTGGCAACACAATAACCATTGATGCCACACACCACGGGTTTGTGTAAATGACGCCGGGTGGGACCCACTGAGCCTTCAGGCATCATTAACATTTCCATGGATACTTTGCCCTCATCATTGGCAGCCATTTCCAAAATATCAAAACCCGAACAAAAACTACCACCCACACCATAGAGCACAGCAATGGGTGAGGTTTCATCTGCTTCGAAGGCACTGAACGCTTCACACAACTTGGCTGCTGTTGCGGCATTAATGGCATTTCTCTGTTGCGGCCTATTGATGCCAATCATGGTAATGTTTTTCTCCTTGTCCACCAGTACGGTTTTCTCCTCAGCTTGACCTTTTGGAAAGCAATAAAAAGCAAAGCTGCTAAATTATGTCATGCCAAAGCAAAGTGTAACCGATACCACTTACCTTCACTGCCATCACGTAGACACTGGGTTGTGGATATTGTCCTTTGTCCAAAGGCCTTTTTAAGGTTACCTCCTGACCGGCATATTTGTCTGGTCAATTGTCGCAACATAATTTGTCTCTGCTTTACAATTACTCGATCCGATTCGGCCTTTTACATAGAGTTGAGTAGTTCCGGAACGGAACGAACTAGTTCATTGGAACTATTCCGAGAAAGGAACGATCGGAACTAGTTCCAGCTCTTTAATTAATATAGTTCCTTTTTCTTATCCAGTTCCTTTTTTGAACTATTAGAGGCAAAGGAACTATATGGAGCATAGGAAAAATATGGAGCGTAATTCCTTTGCTCCAAACTATATGGACCAAAGGAACTATAAAGAGCAAAGGAACTGTTTGGAGTAAAGGAACTATATGGAGCAAAGAAACTACATTATGGAACTAGTTCCTTTTTAAAAAAGAAACGAGAAAGATCGATCCGCTAAGTGAACTAGATTGTCCAATTCTAAAAATGTTTCCAACTGTTCTGGACTTTTTCACTTCACGGTTGTACAATAAGAGGGAAGCCTCCAAGACTCCAGCCTTTATATAATTCGCTTGTTTAATCGTCGTTCTGCCAAGACTCAAACGACGTCGTACGCAAACATTCGCCAACAAAATAAAAACGACGACTGAAAAAATTGTAAAACGTTCCACCTGTTAACGAATGGGAGGAGAAGAAAATATGGCCGATACAGATGAACTCAAAATGGTATAACCGAAAGTTTACGAATGAGGTGGGATGGAGAACCGTTTGTTTACGAATGAGTGTAAAGCAAAGCATAACACCCCGAAATGTTACAGCCTAAAAGTATGCAATAAATTTTATTGTTAAAAGTTAAATAAAGAACTCATTTTGGCTGCACTTAATAACGCGCATTGACTCGTGCCAAAGTTAAACAAATTTTAACTTTCGGCGTCATGGCGCGTATTTAACTTTTTACATTTTTATGTTGAAATTTCGGTGTACAAAAAAAAAAAAAAAAAATGGCAGCAATTGCTCTTTGCAATTATTCGGCCAATAATCCACTGTCAAAGGAAGGGAATACCCGAAATAATCCAAACTTTACACATTGTAATTGTAATTAGCAAATTAGCTCTTTGCAATTATTCGGCCAATAATCCACTGTCAAAGGAAGGGAATACCCGAAATAATCCAAACTTTACACATTGTAATTGTAATTAGCAAACCTAGATCATGTTTGAATATGGGACCCATCGCTCCCTGTGGTACCTTTCCCACAAAGTGCCAAAATTTTGAACATTTGCAAGACCTATATTGAAATGGATGTGCATTTATATACAAACTAAGCACATCGTAATATTTTTTCCAACACTAAATCAAATATGACGATCGGACCTATTGGTTCATTAATTGTCCCCCACAAAATGTCAACATTTTTGAATTTCATATGAAGCTAATGAACTATACTACATGATACGTTAAATGCACATTGTAATATTTGTACCAAACCCCGATCAAGACCGATGATGGGACCTATCGGTCTATTCCTTTTGAAAACTTGTGGGAATAGAACTAGAACAAAGTATCACATCTGGCATCTTCCAATGTAAGGTTATTTTGTCTTATTTGATATTGGAAGTTATAGTACCTGGTGTATCATCGTCAACCTCGATTTGTTGATCCTTGTGAATGAATGGAATCTAGTGTCTAAACGATTGTCTTAGGTGCTCCCTGTAAGGAACTGAGAGTTTTGTTTCCTTATTATTCCGATTATTTTCGGGGTTACTCGCTTTTGCTCAATGCTACAATATGATGGTTCTTCGTCTGATGGCGTCGAAAACTTTCTTAAAATCGACGAACAGTAGATACATATGTGATTCCAGGTTATTCCCCTTCAGTTAATGTCATGTTCGGTACGTTCAAGGCCATTGCCAAATTTTTCATCCAGAGTTTCTCTAGTTCTCTATTTCGTGTTCTCCTGACACAAATTTACCCCATATAAAATACACCAACTGTGTATTTTTGCTTCATCCTTGTCAATTTTAGACTTTGGGCGCCAGATAGCTCACTTGTTCTGCCTTCTCTTACATCTTCATATTACGAAGATACCCAGCAGATGTTTTTGCCCAAACATCCTCCAGCTGAGAGCACACATAATGTAGATGCGACTCACCCGAAGCATGTATTCTATTTCAACTTACATTTGCACAGCGATGGCCTAGGCCGTCATGAGTCCAAAATCAATGTAAGCGAAGGTCGGATAGGTCCAACTGTATCAACATTTTAAGCGAAGATCGGATGGGTATTAATATTAGATGATGTACATAAGGATCTATAATGGGATGGGTGGAAATAAAATGTCAACAGTTTTATTCTCAAAAAACTTGTTAAAAAATTCAAAAAAAAAAAAAAAAAAAATAAATAAATAAAATAACTAATTAAAGTTGGACGGATTTTTTATTGTAGGATATTTTTTGGTAGTGTCTGTCCTTGTAAATTTTGAAAAAATTCCTAATTGTTTTGGCGTAATCCCCTTTCATTTCGTAACTTACATCGGACAGCGTGCAAATGGGATATATTGGTTCACCTTTTTATTTGGCCGCCATACAAATGAAGTGTCTCTAACAAAGAATTTTGGTTTATGGGTTCCGAACACATACAACGGAACGGTTGGAAAATACGTGGGTGACGATTGGTATGATACGGCAGATACTATGCGGACTGGAGTTTTAAAATTTTCTACTATATGTCTCTAAGAAGTCGAGATTCGAACTGTGTGCCACAATAAATGTTTGTTTATATTTAAGCCAGAAGACGTAAGACAGAGATTTCAGAACTTCAGGTTAATGTAGTTGGTGTACAAGGAGAATTTGGGGCGTTTAATGAAGATGACCCCAAAAATTTGTTGATTACGGTCAGTGTGGATACTCCTGCCTTCTGAAAGAAATGAATTCTCGAGTCCAAGAAGTGATAACTGTGGATAAATGGAGATAACGCTCCCGCAAGAAAGAGATATGTCTCACTAGATAAACCTTGATCAATATGATGTTGATATCAGCATAGAATAATCCAGCGTATTGAAAATATAAGGCAGCCACAATGATTCGTTCAGATTATTCGTAGTTTTAGAACTTATATCTTGCAAAGTCGATGTTGTTCTAAATGCTTTTCTGAATCCACATATAAAAAGAGTATTACTATTTAATTAACTCTGGAATTATTAAAACACGAGCAAAGGAATATAATTGTAATAATTTAGGACCAGCAACAACATATGAAATGAATCACCCTCTGGATTATCTCACGAACATCATTAAATAATCTGCTGTCTTAGCTACACCGACTACATATATCATCTGAAATCAGACAACTCATTACTGAAACCAGTAAGGAAAGTAGTAAAGTCGAACGGGGCCGACTATATGATACCCTCCACCACTATGGGTATATTAAACAGGACTATTAACATAAAATTGGATGAGATAAAATATGTGATATTTATCTAACTGTGAATCAACTTCAAACAAATATCAATAGGTCATCCGTTGGGCTATGTCTGTACTTCTAGGAAACGCAACTACGTAATTATATGTTCAATTTTGTACGTTGTGCAAAATTTGACGTCAATCTGACTAACATGAGGAGTTTGATGACCAATTTACTTAAAATCGGGCGAAAATATATATGGAAGTTATATCCAAATATGAACCGCTTTCAAGAAAACTTATCGCCGGCTAGGTTATACTAATTTCAGTACGTTTTGTTCCTATCAGCCATATATTGGATCCTTGGTGCGTCAATTACTTGAAATCAATCTATAATATAAGGGAGCTATATCTAAATCTGAACCGATTTTCACGAAACTTGACACATATCAGTCTGGACTAAATTCAGTACGCTATGCCAAATTTCATGCAAATCGAAGGATATATAGGGATTTAGGTGCACCATTTACATGAAATCGGACGAAACTATATATGGGAGCTATATCTAAGTCTGGACCGATTTAAACTTAACGTGGCAGACATCACTCTAGGCTCAATTCAGTACGTTATTCCAAATTTGGTGCAAATCGAAAGATATAGGGACTTTGGTGCGCCATTTACATGAAATCGGACGAAACTATATATGTATGGGAGCTATATATAAATTTGGACCGATTTTCACGAAACTTGGCAGATATCATTCTAGGCTCAGTACGTTGTACCAAATTTCGTGCAAATCGACATATATATATATATATATATATATATATATATATGACGAAACTATATATGGGAGCTATATCTAAGTCTGGACCGATTTAAACTTAACGTGGCAGACATCACTCTAGGCTCAATTCAGTACGTTATTCCAAATTTGGTGCAAATCGAAAGATATAGGGACTTTGGTGCGCCATTTACATGAAATCGGACGAAACTATATATATGGGAGCTATATATAAATTTGAACCGATTTTCACGAAACTTGGCAGATATCATTCTAGGCTCAATTCAGTACGTTGTACGAAATTTCGTGCAAATCGACAGATATATAGGGTCTTTAGTGCACCATTTACCTTAAATCGGATGAAACTATATATCAAGAAACTTGGCACACATCATTCTAGGCCTAATTCAGTACGCTGTGCAAAATTTTGTGCAAATCGAAAGTTATTTAGGGACTTTGGTGCACCATTTACCTTAAATCGGACGAAAATATATATGGGAGCTATATCTAAAAGTGAATCGATTTTTCCCAATTTCAATAGGGTTCGTCCTTGGGCCAAATGAATGAGCTGTGCCAATTTTCATCCAATTCGAATAATAAATGCGACCAGTACTTTGTTTACAATTTAACATGGACATACGGACGGACAGACGGACATGCGTAAATCGACTTAGAACGTGATTCTATGCATATTCTCAAAAGGAACCATGGGTCTATCTCGATTCCTTTTGCCATATGCACAAAGACATAAACACCACAGTGTGGTGAAGGGTATAAAAATACGACCCAGAAGAAGGTGGCAAAAGAGTAGGCAGGTAGCAGTCCTGTAGAGAATTTAAAAATATTCTATTTGAACGTAGAGACGACTATACAGCAACGTTTCTTGAAAGACTACCGGAAAG